TTTACTCGTATTTTTATTAATGTTAGAAATAAAACAGATCCCTAGGGCACTCCTGCAGTGATATCCAACCCCTCTGAAGTACTGAACCCCTAGAAGCAGTACTTCATGACAGACACAATCGAAAGCTTTTTTCAGGTCACAATAAACTACCGCGGCCACTTCTTCGTCATTTATCTTCTAATACAGCTCATCCAGGAGATGAAATATGGTATCATCAGTGTTTTTTGACTGCTGAAACAGAGACAGAGAAAGCAATTTATGTCTATCAAGGAAGCTCACCATCCACCTTAATTAGCCACTCTACAATTTTAGTCAAAGTTGGCAGTAAGGATATTGGCCGGTAATAAGATGGTAAATTCTTATCACCCCCCTATTAAACAAAGGTACTACCCAAAATTGCTTCAAAAATGAGGGAAAACTTCCGGTAAGAAAAGAATTAATAATGGAATCCGCCAACACATCAACAGCCTAACTGAGATATCATCGTTCCATCCAGAAGATTTTCCATTTTTGATACTCAGTTTCTGAGCAATCGTACAGTAGTATGAATTAATATTATCTGCTTTCAAATTGGAAGCACATATGTATATTTTTTTTTTTTTTCGCGTAGGTCGTTACTCTTTTTGTTTATTGGATGCGGATGCCCAACCTCTCATTGTAATAAATCTTCCTTGCCTGTTTCATCGTCTTTCTGTAGATGCTCCTGTATCCATTATTTGAAGTAGGTAGCACAACACTGGACGGTAGAGTTGCAACGAATAAATATTTTCACATTTTAAGGGTAGGTCCTAGGTGTCCAAGTGAAATGAAGGCTAATGACGTTATGGTTTGTGTTTGTGTCAAATGTTTGTGTGCCTCTTGTCGGCCATATTTGTGTCACGTGTTTTGGATAGTCTAATTCAGTCTATTTTATTATTGTTAAATTTTGCTTTGACTCTCATTATATTTTCTGTTAGCTTCTCAAACTCAAAAACTCTTCATTCAATAAATTATATTGATTTTAAACTTTAAATCTACTGGGCTGGAGCCCCGTAACTAAAATATTTACATCTACTTAACCTAGGACAGAGACTACTTAGGACTAAAACTGCAGCGTGACGCAGCACGCTGTGCTGTGATCTGTGACGCTGTGCATACTTGCACGCCTAGCGTGCAGTGCACGACCTTGAGCCCCGGTCGATGTTGTGACCATTCAAACCCCTGTACCTATTTTTGTTCGGAAAGCTTTCTTCGACGTTTCCTGGTTGCCCTTCAATGTCGATTTTATGACCTTAGAGTAGGTCATTACAGTGGCTTGTCTGAGGGACCTGAGGGTATGGGTGGTGTGCTCAGAGTTGGGGTTGAAGCGCGCCAGCGCCCGTTCTGCGGGGAAAAAGCATCGAAAAACCCCGCTTTTCATTAATTTAATGAAAAAAGCAAAACAAAAAAGTTGAGCCCTCTTGGGCGATCTGGTCCACTGGACGCGGTCTCACTAACATTAAATGAGCTGTGAGCTTTGATGATGTGCGCGCGTGAGCGCAGGTTTTAATTAAAGGGGTGCTACAACCCTGCACCCTGACCAATCCTGAGACCTGAGGAGCCTCTAGGTAATGGCTTGCAGCTATTGGGCTATTTGCGCCTAGTCAAAATGGGGGTGATTGATGGTTAATTAGACAAGTTCATTTCCTCATAGCCAGCGAAAGAGGAGTTAACTACACACTAAATCCACAGCTTAACTAAATCTCTGGCTAGTTGGAATTTTCCGAAAAACTGAGGACAGGATTAGACCGTTGATGGAATTGCCAGTCTCCTGCTTTAGACTTGGCTCTTGGCATCATCGCCAAATCTTTCTTGTCTAATTTTGTCTCGACGATTGATGGATTTTAGCTGTGCATTGGATGGGTTTTTAATTTAATTTGGAGTGTGGTTAGCAGGTTATGGAATGTGAAAGGTGTTCATGGGGGTTTAAAATAGAGTGGTAAATTCTTGGGTAAATTATTCTTGTATGGGGGTCCGTGAACTATGGGGTTGTCTGAATCATATGTCGTTGCAGTTATGCTGCGCGTGATAGGAGATCCACTGATTCCTTGTTTATAAAACTTGTCGCTGACGTCGGTCGTCCAGGTAGTCAGAGATATAAGGAACGCATGCTTGCGCATGCATGTTCCTTATTCTGGTGTACCTGGATTCCGACAGGACTCCTCTCAGGATGCGGTTTTGGAACCGCTGCAGGCAGTTCCTTTGTGTTGTTGATATGATATTCCAGACAGGGGCCCCATAGGTCAACATAGGTCTTATATTACCTGTTTGTAGATCAACAATTTATTACCTGGCGATAGGGAGGAATTAGGACCGATGAGGGGGTAGAGTTTTTGCTGCGCACTGAAGGTGCGAGCCAGAGCGTGAGAGACGTGGTGGTGGAATTTCATTCTCTGATCGAATATGATGCCGAGGTATCTGGCTTTCGGGGATAGAGTCACTGGGATGTTGTTTACGATAAGTGGGGTGGGCATGGTGCTATTGGTATGTTTCTTGTGGAAACATATCATTTCCGTTTTTTGACCATTAACACCAAACTTCCACTTATTGTAATAGAGATGAAGGATTGAAAGGTGATGGGCAAGTTGAAATTTTGTTGCTTGAGTGTAAAAGGATTGAGCGTAAACAGCGGTGTCATCTGCGTACAGCGCCAGATTTGTATTTTGGAATGTCCGTTGTGTACAGAGAGTACAGCAACGGACTGAGTGCGTGCCGACCCCTGCGGTACTCCGGCCTGAATTGGTTTGGAGGTTGAGAGGGCGTCGTCTTGTTTGACGTAGAAAGTGCGGCCGCTGATGAAAGACTGTATCAGAGAGATGATGTGCAGTGGAAAATTGAAAGTTACGAGAAGTTTGTAGATAAGGCCTGCGTGCCAGACCCTATCGTGTCGTGTTCATGCACCTGTTGCATGAACGCTTGGAAAACGTCGCAGCAGATTTTGGCTGCAAGAAGAGTTGTGTTGTGACGGGGGCGGAATCCGAACTGCTCGTTGGGTTAGTTACTTTCTGTATTTTTCCTTGTAGAACTATTTTGTTTTTCTTCTATTACTTCCCAATTTTCAAATACAACTTTCATTCCAGCTTTCTGACGGACAATAAATGGTGTGATAATTCTTTGCATTCCCAAACATTTTCTTTTCTGATTTTTTTATCAGGCGTGTATTTGTGTTCGACATACAAATCGCGTCCTTTTTTATCACTGATAGATATATTTTGCCATAGACGCACATAACTACTCTATAATTTTTTTCAAATTTTATTTTAAATAACAATTTACATTTTTTTTTATTTATTTTTATTATGGATACTAAAAGTAGGTACAGTTCGTTTCATTAACTTGGGAAAAATTTTTACCCGCGCGCCGTGTGGGAAAAAAGTTTTCCGCATCGTGCGGGAAAAAGATAGTTTCCGAATTAAAATGAGTGCGGGAAACTGGACGCTTTTATTTGACTTACTGTTTCAGCAAAATCAGTAAAGAATGTATTTGACTGGGTTTTCTTATAAATTTCATTGACCTTGGCTTCCTCTGCGTTTGTACCTGCATAAATATTCCCATATTGAGATATGTCTGTTCTAGAGATTCCATGATTTCCTTCCCTGATTTTTTATCTTATTGTTTCTAACATGTTGTCTGCTAGGCACTGGACGATTATGTTTGGAGCCTTTCCATCAGTCTTTTTATAATGAGGTAATACCTACTACGTTTTCACAACTTTTCACAGGCTCTGTAACAACATCCAGGGCTTCAGCTCTTTCAAGCAGTAATTTAACTCTAGTGTATACCTACTGCAAATTTCTTGTATCCATGTTCCAACAATAGGGAACAATCATATTTTTTAAATTATTTTTTTTTTGATTGCTTATGTTTTCAAATATAAAATACATATGTTTTCTTTTGTATTATGTCCTCATTAAAATAAAAAAAATATATAAAATTTCAAATTATTTCCGTTGGCGCGAAAACGATTACCTTCAAGATGTCGGTATTTGTGACGTCAACGTTAAGGTCTGTTCTCACAAGACTCTCTGACACTTTACAAACTGTCAGACAGAGTTGCTCGTACCTTCGACTGCATTGACAATGTGGTTTTTACGTGGTGTTTCTGTATTTGGCGTATTGTGACATTTTGTATTTCAATCAGCTTATCATGATTGATATAAGATTTACAGAAGCGCAGCCTGACAATCTTTCCTCTATAGACCCATTTATGGTGGTTTAATATCAGTGAAGTGAGCTGATCGTGGACCAATCGTTCTTCACGAACCAAGAGTGGACTACGAAAGCGTGGACCACGTACGTTCGTTATTCACGGTCAGTGTGAACTACCCTTAACCTTAGTTTATGAACAGTTGACGTCACCGAAAGCGGCCATGTCAAACGTAACTTTTCCGCGCGAAACTTTTCAATTTAAAACTAATAATTGCCCTATGACAATAATATCGATATTTTACAGAAATATGTGCATCATAAAAACAAAATGAACCATATTTATTTCTCATGAGAATTCCCTTTTCTTTCCAATGTCCGCAACAATTTTTTTACTTCCAATTTTACGAATTTTCACTCATATACAAGTACGAAACAAACTTCTGCGACTTCCACGTGAACTGGGCACATAACCTATTGAACCATGAGTGGAAAACAGTTCGTCCTATATTATATTTATTTCAACTTGCAGATATTTTACATCAAAAACGTCGAACCACCAACCAAAAAACCTGTTGACTTTTCCTACTGTCAGTTCTATCACACCTTACTGGTGGCTGAATGGTTGTTCGCACACTTACAGCGAACTGCACTTACAAACTACAACACAGAAATGTACCAACATTAAGTTCATCAAATATTCGATATTTCCATTAAAAAAATTCTACTAATGGATCCCCTACGAAAATGTCCAAAAATCCACAGTAGTGAGGAAACATCATTTTTCCACACTAAGATTGGGACGAAAAATCGCAAACTTGTAAAAAAACTAATTGCAAACATTATGAAAAATATATTATTAATTATAAATAGTTATTATTCCTTAGTTTTATACATACATCTTATGTTACAATCACTTACACGGCTATAAAAAGGGTTTACAAAGATTAACATGTGTAAGATAAAAAAAAAATGTTTTTAACATTATTGCGCCCTAATTTTAATAGGAATGGGAACAAAAATTACCTTTGTGTTTTATTATTAAATAATATAAAAATTTCAATTGCCTAAAACATAAAGAATGTGACAGTAATTTAATAATTTAGTATTGCTCAAAAAATAACGAGTTTATCCTCATTACATTTCAGATTAAATTGACGAAAAACTAACAATAACTTACAATTTATTTCTGGCAAGCTATATTAAAGTACTTATGTTAAAAACCGTCATGTTTGAATTGATGGTCTTCCCTATGGACAGGAGGTGGAACCACTTGAAGCGTATTCCCTGATCCCTGAGTTAAATAACCAGCTGGAGTAGGAACTCCTGAAAAAAAAAACTCTTTCAAATATAGCAGTTACATACATGAATATAGAAGAATTAGATGGATTTTTGCATACACCTTGTAGTAAATTATACCTGAAAATAATACAGCCTTCGTCGGAGAAGATTTAGTTCTCATTAAAAAAAATATGAATTTAAATCAAGATGTTCGATACCCACTGAATCCACATTCTTTAAGAATTGAAAAATCTAAATGAAAATGCTTGAGAAGCGGGCAGAAGGTGAAAGTAAAATTGTCTTGAAATCAGATGTGTCCATTGACTGAATCGATGTGTAAGATTCAAAAATTTCCTCTTACCGACTACCAACATCTTGAAAGATGAACAATATGATCTCAAATAGAACCAAATTAATAATATTGATCTCTCCATTTTGAGTATAAATGAAGAAGAGACAGATGTTGAAGATGAGGAGGAAGTAGTGACCATACAAGAACATCTCAACAAAGATAAGAACGCCTGATGCATTCTATCTCCAAAGTAAAGTGTGACCTTATATAACTAAAATCCTAAGCATGAATATAAAGCTGAAATAGAGGTTAAGGTATGTAAGCAAAAATGCAGCTTATTAGGATTTCTTTTTTTGCGACTTATTCTAATCCCTAGTTTACCTGTTAAGTATCCAGAAATATTCGAATTACTAATAAACAAATCATGTTTCTGATCCTTGTATTCAGCCCAAATGCTACTTTTTTCCAATATAGCATTCACCCGGTCACCGTACAACAAACTCCTGGACATGGATTTCAATGCATTCACAATTTGCGCTTTAGTCATGGCAGGATTATCGATAAGTTCCAACTGTTCTTCTAGAAGGTTCAACAAGAATTGAATGAAATCCACGTCCAGTGCTTGTTTGACTAATTGATCTTGGCTGTTGGTGAATAGACGACTCAGGGCCTCGCATGCTACTGCTGTCATGTCTTTGCGCGCTTGCATGGCTCGTTTCAGTGGATGCATACATTGGGTTTCAGCAATAGCTCCTACACAAAGCTACAAAGAATATTAGAAGTTGAATCTAAAATTATATCCACTTACATTGCTCATTGATAATGCCTTTAATATAAGAATGGCTGCTTTTGGTATGGCTATTTGTCGTATATTTGAACCCATTTGCTTACAAATACGTGGTATATGTCCGAAAGAGGGTATCAAATCCAATAGAGCTGGTTGGGCTTGGAGCAAAGCACATAAAGCGTTTGTTGTTAATTCCAATAATTCTCCCTAAAATGTGTCAAGATTTTTATTAAACTGCAGATGTTGTTTTAAATTCGCTTACGTTTGGTGTTTCTTTCGACATATTTTCCAAACACGTCTCCAGAAGTTCTGATAGGAATTCCTTTGGTTTTCTCAAAGTCCACGCAGGATTTTCAATAAAAAGCCGTAAATAAACGCCTCCTATAATCACTTCGTTTGGTGATGTAATGTTGGCTAATCCGGTACCTTCTGGCTTCTTCCATTGGATGGATGGGTTTGTACATTGTTCATTGTAATGCCTGAGATAAGACAATACATTAGCACTTTTGAACTAGAGATAAGACAATAAATTAGTGAACCAGCTAACAAAAAATTCACAGGCTCTAGTGACAGTTTTCCAAGTTTTGAAACTAGCGCGAGTAGGACAGGAGCTCTTTTACAACTTAAGGAACGTAGAAATCAAGTTCTAATGCAAGTATCGATATTAGAAAAAGTTCAACAGATAGCAGTCTGTTCTTCAGCCATAGGAAATATTGAAAGTAAGGTAGAATCATCAATTTTGTTCAGACTCAATTTGATTGAAATCATTCCTGGAATTGCTTCAAAATCTTGTAAATAATAAATGTTTTGAGTTGAGAATCAGAAATTGTCCCTAAGCTTGCTCAGATCCACAGTTTCTGGTTTTATTTTTCTCAATGATCAAAACTGGAAAACAAGTAAGATCCTATGATATCGATAAGGCTCTTGATAAAAGAACATCGATATTTTATTTAAACCAATTACATATTTTAAAACAAAAATGAAAACAAAATATCAAACATTACCGTATGAGAATGTGTGGAAAATGTTTATAAATTTTATATACTTAAACTAAACAATTAAACCAAAATAATTTACTTACTCGTCTGTAAGTCTAGATATCACCGAACACACCCTGTTCTTAGCATCTTCATTCCAAATAAGCTCTGGATGTTCATGAGTAGATTCCAACATATTCATGGAAGTTTCCGGACTGTCTCTCATCGCATCCAAAAATATTGGCGGCAAAAACACTTCCGTGGCAATTTTAATTTTCGGTCCAACTAATTTATCCAGCGTCATTCTGGCGAGCAATTCCGCAGCACTTTGTCTAACTTGAGGATTACTCGAGTTACAGAATAAGTTTAATAAATACAAAACCGCGCCTTTATTCAAAGCTTCTTTCACTATTTTCGTATTGGTAACTAAAGCTGAAAGTACTTCGAGTATTTGCAGATGCGATTCAAGCAAAGTATAAATACTCAACAATAAGAAACTCAACACGGCCGAACCGGCAATGTCGTTTATGCACTCATTATTTCTGGTCACCACCGATATCACGTTTAAAGTTTCGGTTTGAATAGGAACATTATTGACCACTAGTAAATTGAATATTAATCTAAAATGTCCGATGCATTGCAGCTCGACGCCGGGATTGTGAAGGATCACGTTGGTTAACGCCCTTAAGGCCATCGATGTGTGATTTAGTTTGTTGTCTTTTGATACTGAATAAGCGATGTTGGCCAGATTCTTTAGGAACTCGAATTGGTTGTGGAGGTACTCCAGAAGAGCAATTACCAGATTTTTCGGATTCTGAAAAAGAAATTTTTATGTAAGAATTTCTATAAAAATGATAAGGTTTCAAAGGTAGTAGAAACTTTTTGGACCAAATATTGATAACCTGCACCAGTTTGACTAGTAGGTATTATTATCAAAGTTGAGTTTGGTTAATCCTTTGATAGCTAAAAGAGACTGCTGAGAAAAGCTCATGTGATCTTTCATTTGAACTTTTTGGCACAAGTATCAAAGGGTTTTCAATTTTTTATCGAGGAGAGAGCCGCAGGTCAGTTTTGTTCCACCGAGATCCTTAAGATTTTACTTATTTCCTTTGATTTCCTTATGATTTCCCCTGATTGCCTTAGACTTCTTCGGATTTCTTCTTGATTTCCCCGAATTTATACACTAGATTTCCCTCGCGGTTTACCCCTGAAGGGTAAACCGCAGGTAAGTTTTTGTACACCAGATCATGGATGATTTTCTATGATTTTCCCTGATTTATTTGATTACCAGTAAGATTGCTCTAGTAATTGAATGTTGTAAGTGGATATAATTATAAGTTAAGATGATGGTCTACAATAAAATGTTTTAAGTCTTTCTTGTACTTAGTATTACTTTTTCCCTTTGGTATTTCATTGAAAATCGCTGATGCAAGATATCTAAAAGAGTTCTTGAAGAACTGTAGTCTATGCCTGGGAACCTCTAGCATATTTACATGTCTAGTCTACATCCTATTAATATCGCCCAAAGGCACAATAAGTCCTCTCAGGTAGCCAAAACAGTTAGCCTCAATAACCCCCAAAACCAGCATAGCAGAGTTCACATATCGTCTTTCTGCCATATTTAACATTGACTTATCAAGAAAACTTAGAAATGGTCCATATACAACATCCATATAATTGCATTTCGATAACACTAATGACTCTAATAGCGAAATTTTTGAACTAGTTGGTAGATAGTTTTTAAACTCATATAAACACTTAATGCATAATAACACTTTTGCGACAAGCTGCTCCCTTGGCCATTGAATGTCAATGTTTGATCGACCAGCATACCCAAGTTCTCAACTTCTCGCTCCCAAGAGACGTCGACACCCATAACTTTTACATTCACAGTAGGATGTTTTTCTAGATTCAGGCCAAACAGAATTGCTTTCGTCTTTGTGGAATTTACTAGGAGGCAGTTGTTGGTTGCCCATATCGTGTAACGCTCCAAATCTTGATTTATTTGATCTACTGTCAATGGGAATGGGATGCCAAAAAGAACGATAGGTAGTATTGGTATTGGGTATCATCGACATAGTAGTGACAAGACAGGGCCTCATTTGCAGCATCAGCCAAGTATATTGAGTACAACTGCGGCCTGAAAATAGACCTTTGAGCTACCCTTGAACTGATTGCCCTTGGGCTGGATAGGAAGTTTTTATTCTTGACCCTCTGATCTGTGCCTTCAAAGTAACTCTCGAACCATTTGACTGGTATGTTATCAAAATTACAGTATTTGAGCTTCCCAATGATGAGTTTATGGTTTACAGAGTCGAACTCGGAGTCGAAGGCTTTTGAAATGTCCAGCAGCACAAGAAAAGTGACTTTTTGTTGGTCAGCAGCTTTCACTATGTCATTGGTAATTTTGAGGATAGCCGAGGTACAGCTGTATCCTCCCCTAAAATCAGACTGATTTTTTGGCAACAAATTTGTCCTGCTTAAATGGGTTATCATTGTTTACGGTTTTTTCGAGTATTTTCGATGCTGCAGGAAGTATACTAATAGGTCTTAGTTCGCCCAGAGTTGGATTTTCAACTTTTGGTATAGGCATGACAAGAGCGAAGATTATGGACGTAAAACACACAATAGTGCTGAATTCCTATAGGGATAATATTCCTATAGGATTATTTGATCCTGTTTGGTGAAGAAATATTAAATGAATAATTACTAAGGCTGCTACAATAAAAGGTAATATAAAATGTAAAGTAAAAAATCGTGTTAAAGTTGCATTATCAACAGCAAATCCCCCTCAAATTCATTGAACAATCATATTTCCTGAATAAGGACAGTAGATGATATAAAGGACAAACAGCTGATTTGGTTCGGACATGTAGAAAGAATGGCAGATACAAGAATACCCAAGCAAATAATTGAGTGGAAGCCAGGAGGAAGAAGAAGACTCGGCAGACCAAGAAGAAGCTGGAGAAGTGGAGTGGACGAAAAAATGAGAGACAGAGGCTTGGAGGAGGATGCCTGGATTGACAGAGATGGTTGGAGATCGGGAATCGGAAGACGTAGAACGTTATAAACCGATAATTATATATATACGACAATTAAGAGCTAATTTCCATAAAGTGGGTACTTTTCCCTCTAGGAGAGAGGTATTGACTAAATTAGTGGATCCAGGCATGCCAACCTACACAATTTAAGCATAACCGATGTAAGACCATCAATTGCCTCGGTATTTGTTTTAATGGAGAGTAGAGCGCTGTCTGTATATCCTCCCTATTTGCCAGTGTAAATAAAAATAGCGCTTCTGAGCATCGGTTGTTTTGAAACGCTTGTATAGGTAGTTTCTTGGCTGACTGGCAGTCAGGGAATGTTATTCAGGAAGGCATCATTGATTTCATCTGGTTCATTCATGTCTGGGGGTAGTATTTTTGATGGTTTACAATGGATGTTCAACGATTTTACAGTTTTCTAGGTTTCAGCGGTACCAATGCACTTTTGCAGCTCATGTGTGTGAAATGCAGCCTTTTCTCTTCTAATGGCCCTACTCAAGTAGTTTTTGAACTCACAGTAGTAGTTGCCTATGTTCTGGTCTTCCAGTAGGTACTTCGAAATTTTAAGAAAGCTCTACTTTTTAGCTTCATAATGCAACGAATGTTATACGTTATTTGCGTTTCTTTATAGTTCTCATGTTTTTCTGTGCATGCTCATCAAAGAGTACAGTTAGCTGGCGAGTGAAGTATTCTACTTTAAAGTCAATATCATCACCTAGGTATGTACAGTTGTTTAAAATCCAAAATTTTCAAATCTTGGTCAAACATTTCTGGGTCTATTGATTTTAGATTTCTTATGTTCGTTCCTGTCGCTTTATTTTATAAGCTGCACATGAAAAGTCCAGATACACTACCTCATGGTCGGTGATAATTGGTTCTGCAGGCAAGACTCCACTTTCTAAAACTATTTCGCTGTCGGTGACATACATATGGTCTAACAGTCTAACAGTGTAGCAGTGTTGGCTGTAATTCTTGTTTTTTTTTTTTTTTTTTTTTTTTACGGATATGCGCACTCGCAAGGAAATGTCCTATCACGCTCGAGAAGCGGCAAGTGCGCGGAAATGTCGGTGTATGTTGGTCTTGAAACGGTTCAGGTTGTAACCTGCAGGGAAAACCGTCGCAGGGAGTTTATTCCACAGCGATGCTGTTCTCCAGAGATATGAATTCTGATATAATGAGGTTCTTGGTGCCTCTAGTTTGACAGTAAATTCATGGTTACCGTCTGTTTGACGGGTTCGCCTGGTAGGCGCTACTCTCGGTGGAATCATACGTGCCAACTCTTCTTTTTTTTTCTCTTTTATGAGCTGATGAAAGCCAAATGAAGTTGTAACTTGATCTAGAAATTTACAGTCATAATCCTGCAATGAAAGCAGATCTCTGTTAAAGTCTCCTGTACATATAACAATGTCGTTAGATATAACCATATCAGGTATGGTATCATGCAGACAGTGGAGCGTCCCATATGGTACCCAGGGGGGTTTATAAATAATACCAATGGCTATACGTACATTTTCAATCACGACTCTCACCCAAAGTTGGTCGATCTTTGTTACTGTATTATATATAGTTAGTTTTTGGGATTTGAATTTACTGGAGACATACAAGGCTACACTGCCTCTATATCTTTCAGTATGGTACATATGGGGCGCCGTTTGGGCCAAAATACATTTTTTTGCTATATGATAATATTATACAAATTTCACATACAAAAGTGAAAAGTTCCATATATAGAGTAATTAAATATTATATAGAAAATTTCCATATATGTGTAGACAAATTACAAATTTCTTATATATGTTTTCATATAGACTTTTAATTTCATTCACTACCGCAATAGAATGAGGGCGCTTACGATTTGGCCGGGATACAGTAACTCTATTGCCATAGTGGCGACAATTGCCGTCTTTTTTTTTATTGGCTCTTGACCAAAATCCTATATATTCATATGGAAAACGCCGCCATTTTGTGGCCAACCTGTTGCTACTTTAAAATATGTATAGGATTTAAATGGACATCCATCATAAAAAATTGAAAACAACGTATCCGATTACTATAATTAGGCACATCAAATACGTTGTTTTCAAGTTTTTATGATGGACGTCCATTTAAATCCTATATATTCATATTTAAAAGTAGCAAAAGGTTGGGCATAAAATGGCGGCGGGACCACTTTATTGTCGCCACTGTATGTAAAGGTTTATTTAGCCACTGTAGGCCGGGACTCTGGCGATAAAGTCCAATTAAATACCGATGTGGTATCAAAATATTCGTAATAAATTACTCTTCCCAGCTTCCGACTTACATCTCGGAATTCTGACATCTGAATAACATCATTCCGACCTATAAGTCGGAATTCCGACTCACATATCGGCATTCCCATTCACTTTATTTTAAATTTTATTTTGTAATTATAATTCGGTATCTCACAACACACCTACCTACATCAGGTGTGCGGCAACTCCAGCTGGTTTCCGGCCAGAGTATACCGGCCAAATCGTGAGCGCCCTCATTCTATTGCGGTTGAAAATTAAATTGAAATTCTATATGAAAACCTTATATATACGGAATTTGTCTATGCATATGGAACTTTTCTATATATGGAATTTTTAAATACTCTATATGGAACTTTTCACTTTTCTATATGAAATTTGTATAACATTATATATATTGCAAGAAATTGTATTTTGGCCCAAACGGCGCCCCATAGGTACAGCAGATATTCATACAAGGTGTATTTGTCATTGCTCATGTCGGGCAGTAAGAAGCTTTC